AAAAAATTTAATTGACGTTTCCCAGTTCCACAATCAAGCCAATGATTTACAGAGGTTTCTGCACAGAAACCTGAAAGAGGTTTTCCATTTAGGTAGATGTTCATAAATGCATTTAACGCTTTTTGTTTAAGACCAGTAAGTAATGTGTTTTTTTGTAAGTTCATTGCTGAAAAGCCCCTTTCAACCGCTGCAGTACTCCCAGACAGAGAAAACATCAATTCCACCATGCACAGTATGTTGCTGTATTTCGAGATTAGAGGGTCATTTTAGAAGTGAGGCGCTAGTCTCAGATAACAAAAATTGAAAATGTATCACAAACGTAAACGGGAAAATGGCCGTCCGCGCGGACGCTGGATTTGAGAAATTTGTTGTCCGCGGGGAATTTTTGACCGCCGAGGACGGGCGGTTTTTCGAGCCCTGTTTAATCTCTAGAAGAGTAGAAATACTTTCATAATAATAAAGTTATTTTAGAAACTAATTTCGTTCAGCAATAAATAACGGTTTCAAAAACAGCCATAACACCTTTCCTCCAGTTGAGTATTAGCCATGGAAAGTAAATAAAATAAGTAATATATTAAATTAGCATACAATAAAAAATATTATTTTGCTTTACGATTTCAGAATATCTAAGGATTCTTCGAAAGCATTAACAATTAGGCATTTTCTTTTTAAAAATATTTATTTTAATAAAATATTGAAATAATTATATAAAAAATAGGAACACATATCTAATCACTAGATTAAATTATATCTTCGAAGTTAACTTTTATTTATATTTAAACATAAAAACAATGGAACTTAAAATTTGAAACTGCCCAAAACTTATCAATGTTTACAATCAGGTCTTAAGGATTATTAGAATTTGAATTATTAGAAATTGCTAATAGAATGATTATTACATATTGCTAATATAGAAAAATAATTTTTTCCGTGCTATATCCAAAAAAAAATTATTAAATAATTACTCTAAGTAAGAACACATGTAAAACAAGTACAAATAAAATAAGATTAAGACAGATGATTAATTTTTAAAAACACTCAAAGACATAAAATAAAAGTAAATCCAATAATGTATTGACACATTTTTCAAAAGGTATTCATGAGTTTTTTCCTTACTATTTTACAAATCGAACAACTTGATTCTCGTAGATCCATTGAAATTTAAGTTTAAGAAAAGACAAATATTTTAATGATTACAATTTAATTTCGAAATTATTATTCACTAATTGATTGTGGCTAAAATAAGGATGGTAAACAAATTAAAAGGTGGGCATTTGTGGTCGAACGAAGGCAGTTGAAATTTTTAATTCCGTCATTTTCGAGGGCTAACTTCACACCACCCCATACCTTTTTCTAGGATTAAGGCTAACATAAGGGTCGTCAGAAAAAACTAAAAGGTGATCATGTGTGGTCAAACAAATGTAATAGAATTTTTTTTTTATTTTTCTGATTTTCGGGGTCTAACTTCATGCTGACCTTTAGCCTTATTTTTATGGTTTATGGCTAAAAAAAGAGAGGTAAAAAAAAAAAAAAGAAACTAAAGGGTGATCATTTGTGGTCAAACGAATACACTATAAAAAATTGGAATTTTATTTATTTGGCATAAAAAGTGATAATTTAATTTTAAAAATTATGTCCGAAATAAAAGTGGTCAAAAAATTTAAAGATTGTCAGGCATGGTCAAACGAATGCAGTTTGTGCACTTGAGTTTCCTTATTTTCAAGAGATAACTTCACGCTTCCCCTAAGCCTTATTTGTAAGATTATGGCTGAAATAAGGGTGGTCAAAAAATTAAAAGGTGGTCATTTGTGGACAAAGAGTGGTCAAACAAATGCAGTTAAAATTTCAAATTTTCCTGATTTTCGGAGGATAACTTCATGCTTCTCCCAGGTCTTATTTTTAGAATTTAGTCTGAAATATGGGTGGTAAGAAAATTAAAAGTTGGTCATTTATGGTCAAAAAGTGGTCAAATAAATGTAGTTTGAATATTTGAATTTTCGCATTTTCGGGTACTAGCTTCACGCAGGCATTGTTGGGATATTTGGTCTTTTAAATAACATGAAAGGAGAGGTAGGCTAATTATGAACAGCCTAGGAAACACTTCAAATTAAAGTAAAGTTCTTTTGAGTTTAAAAAAAAAACTTTTTTCTTGGTTTCACATTTATTTAACAAATTATAAATAAATTCGTTCAAGAGCGTTCAATTTTTACCCTAAATTTAAACAGGTACAAATCATATACAGGAATCCAAGTTAATTTCAAATAGTTCAATATAATTTTAGACTAATTACCTATTTGGTAGCTGTATTACTAGCTCAAAAAGTGTAATTTCATGCAAAAAAAATTCAAACTTTTGTTCGGTAACAGACCTAACCTTGTTTAGTTTCATTATGTGACTTATAAAATCCTCTTAAGTCTAAATTTTAAATTAATCTTGACGTTGACAATTACGAGATTCAATGTTAATCACAAACAACGATCAATTTTAAAGTAATTTTTAAAATAATTCCACTTTCAAAAATGCCTCTAGTTTCAAAATCATCCAAAAGTGATTTTCATAAAAATAATCTTATCTCTGAGCTCTCACTAACTTAGTGGGAAATTTTTATTGTGTAGTTTGGTTCTGTGAATTCGATTAAGTATGTGCACAAATTTGAAGTGGAAAAAAATGCGTGTCTAGTAAAGAGATAGCAAGGTAGATTGATTGATTGAATGTAGAAGTTTTATGGCACAAGATCCAAAGGAGGATATGCTGCGCCAAACAATTTGTTGAGTTAGATCTAATGGTAAATTGCACACAATAGTTTTATTGTCGTAAAATAAATGAAACGAATAAAATTGTTTATCTCAAGACACGTATTTTTAAAAGTTCATAAAATCAATAAAAGCGTAATTCTATAAAATACACAGAAAAGGTAAAACGGTTCATGGGTAGGAGATAAGAGTGAATAAAATCAGATAAAACAGTTATATACAATATAAAATACCAATAGCTCGCAGAAATGCGAAAATGTTAGGATGATGAATATCATCTAACAAATCCTTCATACATAAAATCGTGCTATTAAAAAAGGTAAGACGATGATAGCAAGGTAGAAGAGTAAATTTTAATCTAAGCAGAATTGAAGTCTACAATAAATTTTTTCCTGGTAGTAATTATATGTTGTAATTATATTAGTAGTAATTATATATATATGCTGCGAAGTATTTACGAGGAAAAAGAAATCAAATTTAATTTTCATTGTAACTATATGTATCTTCCTTGTTAACCTATGCAACTGATAAAGAGATTATTTAATTCCGTTATCAAAGGAAGTCAAAAAGGAAGCAGACAGAAGGGAAGATGATTATTCTTAATTATCAATGTTTGTTTATATTTACTTAAAAACCTGTTTTCATCAACTAAAATAATTTTTACTGGTAAAAAGATGGCTTTTAAAAAGATTTAGACCAATTTCGACTGCGTAAAAAGTGATAATGGCAATTACTTACGACAAGAAATTTTATTGTAGTTTATATATGCGAGAATAAATGAAAAACCAATAATGTAAATTTGGTAATCAAAGTGAATCTTACATTTAGAGACATTTCATTTGGCACATAGGAAAAATCTAATAATATTCAGTTCAGATTTTAATAAATAGAGACGCTATTACTTACAACTACGCTATTACAACTGCTATTACAAAGTCTTATTACACGATGAAACTCTATGGAATATGTTTACTATTATGTTTATTCGTTTTTTCCAATTGCAAAGACTCTTATTTAGAAGATATTGATCTTGAAGCTTTTGACTTTGATGGCCCTGGTCCTGGTGTAGTTTGCAATATGCTACCTTCGGATTACAATTGCGATGATCTTTATTCTTTAGGACGAATTTGGTGTGCGAATTTTACATGGCATTCTCATATTAATTTTGATACATTAGATGAATTTTCTGTAATAAACAGCAATAGAGGGATAAATTTAGACGGTAAGAAGCCTAATGCTAGATGCAGTGAGTTACTGAAAGATTGTTTCTGTATGCACCTAGAAGCCATTGCTCAGCATAGTTGTTGGGACGCTATTTTTAACGAGCAAGAAGATGATATTTCTAATCGGAAATGTAGCAACCGTCCACCATATTGTAAATATCGTTGGTATGGTTGTTGTGACAATATCTATGAAGATCAAGATCTAGATACAGAAAATGATGAATTGATACCAGGTTGCAACTTTTATGAATTTGAAACTGTTACACTGGTGAAGTGTTCTGAAGCCACGGAACTTTTCGCTCCCAAATATTTATTTAATCGATCTATATTCGATGTGAATGTGACCTATGATATCGTAGTCGACGGAGTAGTAACTACCCTTCCTGCCAGAAGTTTCGAAGGTATCAAATTGTTCAGAATATATTTGAACAATTTAGATAATGAAGATATCCAGGAGAATGTTTTAGAAAATGTGATTAGTTTGAGTATATTCCACGTGCACTGCAGCTCTTTGAAGGTAATTCCTTTATTTGCTTCGTCTCCGCTCTCATTCAATACATCTAATAATTCTCAATCAAAGTTGTTTCGAAAGCTGGTCGAGTGCTGCGTCAGTCATCGGAGACTGACACTGGACTTTCCAATTAGCCCGCGTCAGTCATCGGTTGAACTTTTCGTTTAATCCGCGTCAGTCATCGGTGATTGAGAGTAAACTTTTTGTTTTTAATGCGTCCGTCATCGGGGTAACTGACACTGAATTTTTAATTTATTCCGCGTCAGTCATCAGTGACTGAGGCTGAACTTTTCGTTTATTCCAGGTCAGTCATTGGTGACTGATACTGAACTTTTCGCTGAGGCTGCATTAATCTTTAAAAAAAGATCTTTCCGAAAGTTGATCAAACACTTGACATAATAGCTCCGAAGCAATTAAAACCGAACTTGAAAACCCGATGATAATTATTGAGTATAACGAAGCTTTCAAAATTGAAACAGCCCTGATAATCCGGCCTCATTTGTAAATAAACAAGACAGCAAGGTAAGGAAAGTGCTGATTACCGATCTGAAGATATTTTTTTAAAAAATAAATTTGGCATGAAGGTAAGTGTAGTAAACTTTGATCTAATTAGATTTTTTTTTCTAATATTTGAACTTATTAAATTATAAAATTTGAACTTTATCACATTTAAGTATAATGTGTCATTTTGTAATGAAGTGCTATTTTTTATAATATTACATTTTGAATGTAAACTATATCGAATAATGAGTACATAGGTTTCCAAATTCGAATACATCGGTTTTCACACGTTTTTGCTCAATTTTGAGGAACACTTTTTTACAGCTCAGTCACCAGAAACTGACGATGTAAAATCGGATAAAAACCTAAAAATCTTGTAATTGCTAAAAGATAATTTAAAATTTAATTAATTTCTATTTATTCCAAATCAAATTTTTATTTATTTCAATCTATTATTAGAGCGCCGCATTTCAATACCATAATATGAGCGCTTATAAGCAGGTCGCCCTGACGGGAAATTACTTAAAATTACGTGTGGTGTTAACGTGTTAAACGATCTAATTTCTTCTCAATACACAATGAATTACAAGAAATCCGGTTTATCAATAGAAAAAAGAAACCCAAGTGAAACGGCGCTTTTAAGAGCTACAAACGCTTGATCAATTAAAAATTACAACAAAATTAAAACAAATTTGAAAGGTTCATTTCACCTTTAAAAACCCTCAAAAACCATTACAATGTTTCGGAAGTTACTACAAACAACTGAAAGAGTCATATTTACTACAAAATAAGTCAAATTAACTTTAATTTACCAAAGCTGACGCATGCCAAATGTGCTGGATTATTTTTCTATAGATATTAATTTAGGTTAGGAAACTATGCATAAAACTTATTTTTTCTACTTCGAAGTAATTGTATAAAATATCAAAAACTACAATATTTACCATAAGTGCGTCACAAAATTTCCAATTTCCGCAGGTGAACTGTAATGCTGACTGTAAAAAGTTGTTTTAATTTTTCTCTACTGAAATTAAAACTATAAACAAAATATTTAATAATTGCGTTTGAAAGGTTAAAAATAAAGCGAAAATTAAACTTAAAAATTATGACAAAATCTCTACTGATTCAAGTTAAAAATTCCAAAGTTCTTTCACAAATTTGCATTTTTAAGCATTCTTTTCAAATAAAATATTTCCAAATTAAAAGCTCTAACAAATATCTCTAAATCTGTAATTTAACATGAATCTTTCAACTATAATCGTTATCACAGATATAGTGAAAGTTCTGCTAGTTCTGACACTTGAACTACAGGGTGAGCCAGTCAAACCTGCATTTTTGAAAAGGGTGGGAGAGCCGTGAAAGTAGGCGGTGAGAGTTACCAATTTTACCATTGTGTCCCCCACAACTAAGCATTTCAGTCGCCATGGAGCATTGGTCTAAACAACAACGTTTTTTCGCTGTGAAAGCGTTTTACCGAAGTGATAGTTATGCAGCCGCTCAGCGTCGTTTCCGGACGAATTTTCAAATTAATCCAAATAGGCCAGTGCCGTCTGTTAATTCAATCAAATTGTGGGTGAAAAACTTTGAAGCAATTGGTGAAGCAATTCGTGAAATTGGTGAAGCAATTGGTCCTCAGCGTATGCTCCGTGATGTGACGGGCAGTTTCAGAAATCGCCTACAAGAATGTCTCGATCGGGAAGGACACCATTTTACTGGCGTTATTTTTAAACAGTGAATGTTGTTTCTTAAATGCTTTTTAATGCAGATTAAGATAGTAACAATAAAAGTTTGAAATATACATCCGTTTATTTTTTACAGTCATTTCAAAAATGCAGGTTTGACTGGCTCACCCTGTATATCTTCTTTTTGAAATACCTAGAAAAACTTAAAGTATCAAACGAAAATTTATAAAACAGTCTCAAGCACTTTTTTCATATTTATGTCATTAGCGATGTACATATTCTGAACCTAATATGTTTTAGGACAAAAAAAACTGCTTTGTTTCTTTTTTTTAAAAAATTCTATAAATATATTTTGGTATATATGGGTATTTTCTAACGAACAGAAACATACTTATTAGTATCAAACAAGTTTCAAATGAATTTCGCATGGCAAAGAAATCTTTAAAAAATTCGAGAAACGTCCACCTTAAGTTAGCGATAATCCTGAACTTAGCATGTATTAAAAAAAGGTTTAATCCATTTTTTTTTTAATATTTCGTAACATTTAATGGAAAATAATTTTAAGCAAATTGACGCTCACTTTTTGAAATGAAACAAGTTTAAAGTAATCTGCATGGCAAAGAGTTATAAATAATTCGGGAAATGTCAATCCTGTTGTTAGTGATTGAAGTAGTCTGAGTTCAGCGTGCTGTGCTCACGCTCTCTTTTTAAACTTTTTATAACTATTCTATAATTTCTATAACTATTCTACAAATTCCAGATGGGAATTTTATAAATGTTTTTTTTTTAAATAAACTGACTTTCATTTTTTTTTAAAGAAACTAGCTTTAAAATGAACCCGAATTAATAAAAAATCAGAAATCATTCACTCTACTGTTAGTGATATACATAATCTGAGATTTGGAAAATGTCACTTATCTGATTATTCCGCATGAAATGAAAAAAAAGCGTGTGGTACCAAACAACTTTAAAAGTATGAATTTGGTAACACACAGACCGCGCATGCTACCAAATAACGTTGTTCATTGAATTTATATGACATTACGAAAATAGAATAATTAAATATTTAAACACTTGCGGTAAACTATTTTTTGATCAAGCAGAGTTATAAGCTAGAAAATATCTCTGTTATCTATAAAATATGTGAAAAGTTGATTCATCTATAGTTAAATTTAAAACAATAGATAACTATAAATTTAACCAATCACAAAATTCCATTTCGTTTTTCGCTAAACCAATACTGACAGTTTGTCGTAGAATGTTCTAATGTAGACAGTGACCTTCCTCGTGTTTCAAACTATTTGTATGCCAGGTTTATCGAATTCGATCGATCGAAGAACAAGGAGAGACAGACACTCATTTATAATATATATATGTAATAAGCGAAACAACAGCCTCTATGTTATCCAGCCAGATGTCGCTCGTCTAAACGAAATGTATAGAACTTTCTCGATGTAAATGAGGAGTCAGTTGGAATTGTCTGTTGAAGCAGTTTCTAAGTGAAACTGATAATCTTAGTGATTAAAGTCTATGTGACTATGTTATTAGTTAGTTGAAGTTTGTTTCTGTGTGAAACTTGGAACCTGTGTGGTTCGATCCTGTGTAACTAAATGTTTCTGTGTGAAACTGGGAACCTGTGTGGTTCGATATTAATTGTTTAAGAATCTGTGTGACTCATGTTATCATTAAGGAATAAGCATAATCACTTAATGTCTTGATTGACTTTATTAATGGTAACCAAGGCATTTACATATGGTGTCAGGAGAAAAAATCATATTTTTTTTAGTCATTCTGTTTCGAGGACGAAACTCGTCAAAATAGCCGAGAATGTAATAAGCGAAACAACAGCCTCTATGTTATCCCGCCAGATGTCGCTCGTCTGAAAGAAATGCATAGAACTTTCTCGATGTAAATGAGGAGTCAGTTGGAATTGTCTGTTGAAGCAGTTTCTAAGTGAAACTGATAATCTTAGTGATTANGAAAAGCAGCCTATTGACTTCCTTGAAAGGTGATTCGCTGAAGGACCTTCCCTCACTGGAGTACATATCTTTCTACAATAATTCCATCCTGGATGTTAATCCCGATGTCTTTGAGGTGAGGTAAAATTTACAGCACTATCCCAAAGACTTGTTAAATTTCATTTTCAATATCCCCAAATTAAACTCCATATGAATATGGAAAAAAATATACATTACTTTTGTTTTACTGTAGGTAAGTAAAAAATAAAGAAATGAAACAGTGTGGTTAAAATTAATATCTTGTAATCAGAGTTTTTCAGTTCCAATTCTACTGATCAGATTTTAACTAAACATCAAATATTTGTAAAAAAACTTGAGTAAAATTATAATTTTTGATTACGCATCTGTATGACCTAAATACGTTTTTGTAAAGTTCGATTGGATCTCAAGTATCACTGTATCAATATTGACTTCCAGATTTCGATAAATGTGCACTCGATTCTCATTAGCTATAAGCCTAGATGTCGTTGGTAAAATTCTGGTTGTTTAACCACATTCGGTGAAAACAGTCAACTAGCTGGGTTTTTTTTTTACCGTAAGCCATACACCGTCAACTCAACCGTTGATTACCATCTTTTATGGTTATTACACTACTTTGGTTGAAAATAGTAAAATAACCATTTTTTTTTAGAAATTTCAAACCATGTTATTTTTTTCTATTGAAAAAAAAAAATTTTAAAATGTTCCACAAACCGGATAAAAAGGCTGGGTGTGGTTTCCCCGGCCTGAGGGCTAGGAGTTGCTCATATGCTCCCTCCGTAGTGGAAAGGATTCTCTCGGGACATAGTACTAAAAAAAAAAAAAAGGAATTTATGATAAGTAGAGAACATAGATAATATGTAGTAATAAAGCACAGAAAGCTTTCGGAACTTTTTCATATTTTTTTTTAAATAATTATTTAAACATTCAAACCGTAAGTGTACAATTACTTAATGTACTTAGTCTTTCTATCTTGAACTATGCGACACGTGGGTGTTTTATCTGTTAATGTAATCTTTCATTTTTAATGGTAAATAAAAATACATGCAATCTTCATAACATTCCCATTGTAATCTTTGTTCTTGATAGGGTACAAACAATGTGATTATTTTGGATCTTTCTTATAACAAGCTTACACTGCTGCCTCCTAATTTATTCGATTCCTTGAAGAAGCTGAAAAAAGTGGACCTCATTCATAATCAGCTGCTACACGTTAACCATCTCTTCAGGAATACACACCCACCAGTATGTAGACCTTAATACCTTTTTCTCTCTGTAAACAAAATAGATATTACATCCGTATGCATTAATGAATGTATTCGAATAAAATGAGAACGGAAAACACTAATTCCGGTAGCTTTTTTTTTACTTTAGTTTGAAAATATGTATGAGGATGGCTTTATAATTAACGACCATCGAAGTGTAGTTAGCTCACAATGCTGAAAAAACTAAAATTTACCAGTTAAGTTCAGTGCCAAAGATAAAAGGAATTATTTATAATTGTCTTTACTTATAGACATGGCATTTTAATAAAATTTTTGTACTTTTTCTGTATTTCTGTAACTACTTTGCCATTTTGAAAAAAGAATAATAACGAAAAGGAAAAGCGCTTTCTTTAATGTTTTAGCACTTGTTATGTGAAAGAAAGGCGTGCATACTGTGCATCTTAGAATCGAAATTTCACCCTTTTTCCTACCATCTTCAGTACTAATGTCTATGCTGGAACTCCTTTCCGAGTGATATGATTTTAAAGCAAAAAATAATTTAAAATTTTTTTCATCTCTAAATAAACTTTTTCCAATAAAATTTCCGACAACTGACTAATCAATTAGAGTACTGAAATCTCCCCAAAAGCACTATACTTCTTACGACAATAAAAGTTTTCGATTGTTGCTCAAGCATTGTAACCAGAATTTACTCGCCAATTTGAATTTGTCGCCAATCGAAATTTTAATAAATAACTGTTTAAAATGTTTTGACTTCAACTGGATCTATGTGGTGGATAGCCGTAATAATCCGTGATGAGGTTCTTGCATGGATTATACGACCTAACGCCGAGCTTCAATAGTTTTCTATTCGTTACAAACAGAATATGCCATTGCATTATCACCTAAAAAGAGATCACCCTTGCATTATAGAATATTAAAATATAAACGGTAACTAATCACTTCTGACTAGATGCAGTGCTCAATTTCAAATGAAGATCTGTATTTCATTGCTATACAAGTTACTATTCCAAATTCAGATATAATTAAATTAACTAGAAAGTAATAATAAATAAATTAATGAAATTAAAAATCGAGTTTTTTATGGTGACTAAAAATGGAAAAATACTTAGTTTTTTCTTCAGACTTAAATCGAAGGACGCAGAACTTCCAGAATAAAACGCCTTTTACCAAAAAAAAATTTACCATCGGAATCCACCTTCATGTCTTTCAAAATGGACACGTTTTACTTTTTATTATTATTATTTCACATTCAAAAGAAGTAAAAGTAGACCGATTCTGAACAAAACTGAAGTGCCACATTTGAAACCGTTCAAAGATAAACTTAAATAACAAATTTTCACTTTTAACTAAGAAAATATTTTTCACGTTTTTAACGTATTTCGCACTTTGAAATGTATTTGACAATTTAAGGGACCATCTCGATAACATTTCTGGTGTATTTAAACAGCTTTTTAAATGTTGTTTTTCAATTATACTATTTAAGCTTCGTAAATCCGAAACGTGAAACGTATTTCCTAATTGTATTTATCAGTCAATTTATTTTTCAATTTTTAGTTTATACATCTGGCTTACAACAACATATCTGACGTGGCCGCTATTTTACCTACGACTGCATGGAACCTAACTACACTCAATATTTCAAGTAATCCCATAGAGCAAGTACCTGATGACTTTTTCCAAGTTAAAGCACCAAATATTAAATATTTAATGATGGGACACTGTCAAATTCGTAATTTTAATATGAGCCATTATAAAAATTTGTTACATTTTCAAGTACTTGATCTCAGTTATAACAGGATCGAGGTAATACCTTATCCAAGAATAGCTTTCAGATTGCTAGTGTATTTATCGCTCGAAGGAAATCTAATACGAGAAATTAGAGGTAAACTTTCCTATTTTTTTTCTTTTTAATTTTTACAACTTAAACGCTACCTTTTATGTCCTCCGGTTGCAAAACTCTTTAAAAGATATTTTATTATTATTATAATAATTTAATTTAATTCACGTCAAAAATTTCACACAGTTTCTAAGTCAGTAATGCTACGAAAGTAATTTTTTTTCTTCAAAATAAACATAAATAAATAAAAATCAAGCTTGTGCATAATGTTTTCCAAATAGAACGATTCAATTTTTACCAAAAATGTTTTTTCTTACATAACAAAAAATAAATTTTCTAAACATCTTACTAACAATTAGACAATTTATCAAAATCTCTTAATTGAGAAATCCCGTTTTGAAATTATTTATTTACACTAACTAAATATAGTTAAGTCACTGTTATTGTGAAGAACTGTATTTTTTTCCTGAAACTCATAAAATTCATTAAAACTCATCCAGCTTAAAACTCATTCAGCTTCAAATAAATTTGAACTAGCCTATCTGGGAAGATAATGCGGCTGATGAGTTATAATAAATTTTCTAAACATCTTACTAATAATTAGATAATTTAACAAAATCTCTTAATTGAGAAATCCCGTTTTGAAATTATTTATTTACACTAACTAAATATAGTTAAGTCACTGTTATTGTGAAGAACTGTAATTTTTTCCTGAAACTCATAAAATTCATTAAAACTCATCCAGCTTAAAACTCATTCAGCTTCAAATAAATTTGAACTAGTCTGTCTGGGAGATAATGCGGCTGATGAGTTATAATAAATTTTCTAAACATCTTACTAATAATTAGACAATTAATCAAAATCTCTTAATTGAGAAATCCAGTTTTGAAATTATTTATTTATACTTAACTAAATATTGTTAAGTAACTGTTATTGTGAAGAACCGTAATTTTTTCCTGAAACATAAAATTCATTAAACTCATCCAGCTTCAAATATATTTGAACTAGCCCGTCTGGGAAGTTAATGCGGCTGATGAGTTGTAATGACTATCAAGATATTATATTCGGTACAAACTGAAACTGATTTCCATCAATTCTGAAAATCTCTGGGGCATTTAGTGCATATTTTTCCAGCCTGACGTTTACCTGATTCGTTTATCCAAAGATAGTTCCATGCAAAAAGTAAATTCTAGTAAATGATATTTATAATTTTTTTTCAATAATAACCGAAAATGTTTGCTTTTTAAGGTATACAGTTTTTGCATCCCTTTAAAATAGATAATTTTACATTTTACATTTTTCTACCTGATTTCGTAATTTAAAATATCGTCTGCACTAATTAATTAACATATTCGAGGTCACCCCTCGAATCATTTAGAATGAGGCCTGGAACGTTAGATCAAAAGTTATTCAAAATAGTCCTTTATTGTGCACTGTGTGCCATTAAGAATGCGATGAACAGTTAATTGCTGCACATTCTTTGAATCTGGAGCGAAAATTCAATTTCACCAATGTCAAAATTATTTCCACCCCAATCACAGGAACTGTAATATTTTCGAAATGGCGAAAATTGCATCATTCAAAATATTCTTAATCAATGTTTATCATTACACGAACATCAACACGATCATTGAACATAATTCGTTCTTTTCACAGCTTTCAAGACCCGCTTGGCAATATTAAACCTATTCAACAACCGTTTACTAAGCTTGGGTACAGTTTTACGTTTCGGCCAAGTGAGACACGTACATGTGGCAAAGAATGAAATTCAGCAGCTGACAGCATGGGACTTTAAAGGCCTCAAAGAATTGTTTGAATTTAAGGCTCAGGAAAATCAAATCAAAATGATTGAACGTTTGACGTTTGCAGGCTACCGCAACGAACTCAGAATTCTAAATCTCAACCATAACCATCTAAGGACACTGAATGGCAGTTTTCAATATTTGTCAGAGTTGCGAGAGTTGTACCTTGCATCGAACTTCATTAGTGTGAGTTTTATGTGTTAAAAAATGAACAAGAGCATTCTTTATCCCTTGAACATTCTTATCCCTTTAACGCAGACTTTTAATTAAATATATTTTTTAAATGTTTTCTTTATTTTGGATTTATTTATGTCAAAAAAGGTGAAAAATAATATATTTAGCATTTTAATAATTTATGGTTTACAAAATAAAGCAGGAAACATAGGTGAAACTTTTTCTAAGTTGAATGTAGAATCTTAAAAAACAAAAATATTTCCACAAAATAATTTTTTTAAATTTGCCTTTATTTGCAGTTATTTAGATATAAGAAAAACAGTTATTCATGATTGGAATTCATTTATTTTACACAATCAATCATTGATACATTTTTGAATAGAAATGAAAAAGAAATTCCCACTACGTTTTCTAGATTTTATATTTCGGTACAAATATAGTTTTTTTTGTCGTGTCTATGACATAGCCGATATAGCTTTTGTTGTGGGTCTATCTGCATTTATATTACATATCATGTGTTTCGTTGGAATTGGTTTTTCTCTTAGTTTAGATTTAGCAATTGCATTTGCATCTTGGATGGAGACGTTACAGTCATTAAGGTTGAGATTTCTGGCATCTTTGGCTAATTTATCTACAAATATAGTTTCGATGATATAACTATTAGACTGTTATTAGTATTTAAAATATATCAAAGTATATTTTTGCTTTTAATTGGAACGTCAGAAGAAAATAGATGAAAGGGACACTTGTGTCCCATCTGCGTTAAAGGCTTTTATTCGTTTTCTATAATATGAAAGTCGTTCGTGAAGCTGCGGAGTAAATAAATAATGATAAAATTATCACTGCAAAAACTTATTTGCAATTATTTTTGCCCTTTCCCATCAAGGCTCTTATTCTTAAAAAGAATAATTGTCAATTCCGATTCAAATATTTGTCATTTGTTATCGAGATATCAATTCATGTCTGAGGTTTTTTAATTATTGAATTGTTTTTCACATGCATTTTTAGAAATGCATGTAAAGCACCTAGTGCCTAGGCGGGCTTCCTTGTCTCATCTGTGATAATCTATGAATGAGTTGAAAGCAGAAGTTAAGACTGAAATAAGGAGTCCTCTCTTAGGGACCAACTAATTTTTCTTATCTATCCAATACAAAAAGAGAAAATAAAGATGTTTTGGAGGCTGAAAGGTGTAAATAAATATACCAAAGGTAGAAAATGAGGTTATGTTTTGCACCAAAGATAACCTCATCAATAAACCTTAATTTCAATCTCATAAAGTCAAACTATCATATATCACTCAGTTATACTTTCAGTTAAAATCGCGTAGTTAAATTCACACTTCAAATATACCTACTTGCTTAAAGTGTAAAAAAGTCACTTGTACACCTAAAAAATCAACATTTTCTAAGCTGGTTGCTATGAACCTCAATAAAACCTCAAGTAGAAATAAAACAACTTCACTTTGGTAATAAACTCTGAGAAGTTGATTTTGTAAGGTTGTTTTTGAAGTCAACTGCACATAAAGCTCAAATAAACTTTAATACCTCAAATAAATCTCAAAAACACTTTAAATTTTTGTAGAGGATTCGTTACACTAACTGTATTTTTACATTTTGAAACCGGAAAAGGCCTCCTAAAAAAGTTATATCCTCACTATAATCTTAGACAGTAAACTGTAAAAAGAATTTAAAACCAAAAATGGTGTAAACTACTATACGCCAAAGTGGTGTTCTACTGCAACAAGAACCATGGGCAGTTCCTAGTGTAGTTAAACACTAAGAATATCCTTTTGCACTACTTCTTCGATTTTCAGTACTAAAATTTATAATAACAAAAAAAAAATATANGGATTTTATTTTTAATCAATAATGTATTCTTTCTCGTTAGCAACAACCTTTCAATGCTGGGTCGAGAATGAATCGAAATGGATAAAAAGAGACTTGGGTTTTAAGACTAACGAATATTTAATGCACCGAAACGACATTGCTTTCCGGTCCGCCTAATATATTGTATAGATAAATCAAACATACTAGTAGCACAGAGAGAATATTAAGGCGAATTTGAACTAGGCTTAATAAAACAGTAGATTATCGAAGTTAAGAATCTCTGGCTACGGTCAATGAGACGGTGGGTAACCAATTCCATCAACCTGAGATGAACCTGAAAGAATGCATAGTTTCGACCTTCATTAAACTGTTATACAGTAAACTGCTCTACTTCTGGCGTAGTTTGTCGGACTACAAAGCAGTGGAAACGTCCCTTCTGCGGAGGATGATAACTGTGATGGCCTGTCTTCGGATCATCCGCAAGAATGTTTCCCATATTGTTGCTAATAGCCCTGTTGAAGATTGACAAGCAGACGATTATTTTCAAAGACATGGTAGCAGACGATTAATTTCAAAGAACATAATTGAAGTTGCAGGTTGGCAAAAGCACAAAATTAAAAAAGGACATATTGTTTTGGTAGCTCTCGTTTTCTCTTTGTTTTTTAAGAGAATCAGTAGAACATTCTTTTTCTTCTTTTTAGTTGAACTTTCTTGTGTTTTTTCTCACAAGGTGAGATTTTTTCGTTAAATTAAATATTAAAATTTTGTTATTTTTTTGTTTTGCAATATTTTTTCTGTGCTACATTTTATGTTTTTAATTTAGCAATTAAGAATAAAAGGTTCTTTTATTTTGTTAACTGCAACAAGCCCATTGTGCAGTTCTAGTGTTACAAAAATTAAGTACTGCTATTAACGGATATTATTATTTTTTTAATCAAAAGTCTTCATTGCTTAATTCAAAATTTTCAATTTCAAAACACTATCAAATCATCAATTGTTACAATATTGTGTATCTGAATTCTATACATTAATATTTTATTCAGATTAAGTATCATTTTTTTACTTTATAATAATGATTTGTACGTCTCTGCTTACAGGTGTTTGAAAAGGGAGAATTTTTAGGTCTGAAAAGTTTATATTATTTAAAAATTAATGGGAATCGTATCGTAACAGTTGGAAATTGTCTTCGCAATTTATCTAAATTAGATATTCTGTATTTGAGCAACAACTCAATTGAAACTCTAAGAAAAGAGCAAATGCCTGATACTCTAAAATATGTAGATTTGAGTGGTATAATTTTATAAAAATATCAATCTTTCCATTATGTTAAATCAAAGCTGAACTTGAATGCTGCGCTTGTATACAGATCCATTACCTAAATTTAATCTGACGAATTATCTCAATTTCGGGGCACTAGGTTCGAGGCACCAGGTACGAGGCACCAGGTTGGTTTCAATGCACCAAATTACTATTTACCTAATGAAACAGAAACCAATTATTTTCGTTTGTTTACACATTAAGTTTTGATTTCAAGAAATACGTTATATTTTCCTCGTCAACTAAAGAATGCGAGAAAAAGTCATTTTTGGTATTTTAGTTAATTCAAATTTCAATGTAGCAGAAGGCAGTGTTTTCAGCTTTGGTTCAACAAAATGTTTATCTGTAGTTTGTTAAATTAAAAATGGAACACCCTAATAACTTTTGGTTCGGTGATTGATAAATGATCGGTTTATCACCTACTGATATGCAATGTTATTGGTTCTCTAATAAACAACACTAAATATACTAGTTAAACACCGTACAAATAGTCTTTAAGTTAGGAAATCAAATACATTATATAAAACCATATAGTTAGAAACGAGTTACCGAGTTTATTAATCGTATTGCTTAAAATTGTTTGGCTCAACTTTGAAATAGATTATAAAAAATAATAAAAAATATTGAAAAAATAATTTTGCCTAGTAAAAATAATTTTTTTTTCGTAATAGCCGAATTTTATAATTGATTCAGTTTAATATTTTTTAAGACATGGTTAAATGTGTAATAAGTAAAACAAATTTACAGGGCAACTAACTTTCGATCGCTAAATTTTGCAGTTTAAGAATTAAATTCCGCCAGAAAAAAAAATACGCTCTCGAAGTACGTATTTTTTAAGAACTGATTTTAACTACAGATTATATATCGTCTGCATTTATTAATAAGCAAATTTAATGTTATTCTTTTTCTCCATTAGGTAGATTGCAAATTAACACCAAAAACATATTTGTAGATCAAAAGTTATTTAAGTTTTCCAATTTTAGTTATTTTCTGCATTGTACAATGTACAATAATTTTTTTAAAACATTTATATTATTTTAACAAAAGTATTCTCCAAATCGAACGAGGTAACATAAATATAAATTTAATACGACTAAATGTTCGTTTTAAAATCATAATTTCAACAAAAAAACTATTTTCGTTATGAAGAATTCCAAAATTATATGAAATAGATTTTATGCCGTAATAAAATGTGATTTTTTTTTTAAGTATTCGTATTTTCTGGATAGAAGTTTTCGTTTAACTTTCGATATGAATTTTCTCTTTGCATACAGGATAGCTAAGAATTTCATTTTTACAGAAAAAATGTGCCATAGAAGAGTTTCAGGAAATATGTTATTACTAACTGCTAAAAATTGTTATAAGAATGTTAATTTTTTTCTTAATTTAAGTTTAATTAAACTAAAAATCAAAATCTGAATAATTGTTCTTGGCTAGTAATCATTTATGCTATTCAAAACCTGCCAGACGCAGCTTTATCTCTTTTTTTTCCAATTATGCAATAACATCATAAAAATTAATTTGATTCACTTTTCGATCAGAATTCGTGGAGCTCAATCCTACCAAAAAACCAGAGATTTTTTTTAATCCTAAATACCAAATTATTGAACATATATTCCAAATATAAACAGAATTTAATGCTGCACTCTATATCAGGTGACTAAAATAGAGAATAGTCAATTTAAACTTCTATCACCAATCTGAAAAACATTAAAAAAGCGTATCCTAAAAATACTTGTTATTTTCAGCTTTAAGGCAAACTTTTATCTTGAATCTGAACCCGTAAATTACTAGAAAATATTGAACCAATTCAATTTTTTTCTTATCTAGACAGAAACATTTATCGTCTAATATCGTCAACAACGCTTGTGAAAAACTCTCAAATATCAGAGTAAGGTTGATTTTAATGTTCGCCACAACCTTTATCACAAAGCCCAACAAGGTTTATAAATGATTAGCGAATAAACCATTCAAGCTTGAAACCAAGTTAAATTTAACTATGCTAATTTACTCGTTATGAGGTTCGCATTAACAACCCTTTTATATCAAACTTGAAGCTGCATTTACAGAACAAGGCTAGAAAAACCTTCAGAAATCGAGGATGTAAAAAGTTTCTCCAATCGAGGATAAATTCACCTTCTCGAGGTTTATTTTAAACTAGTGGGCTGCACCCCCTGCTCGCTAACCCTCGCCAACTCCCGAAAATTGCCACTCAATCTTATATGGTTTGCTTCGCAAACCAAGCTCGCTTCGCTCGTTACTAACTTAGGTACATTGCAAATGCACAAAATTCTAAGAATTCAAAACAATCATTCAAATCCATATAAAAAAATTTTTTTGAAAAAATTACATCTTTTTAGTAAATACTAAGTCATTAAAATAAATTTGAATTCAAATAAATGACATGTAATTCGTTAAACCTATTAAAAATGCGCTGTAGTATAAAATCTTAAAGCGTAACAGCACGACTGAGACTCATTTATCATTGAATAACTAATAACTATAATAAAACAAATAAATTCGTGGTATAAATCAAAAATCGTCAAATATTTTCGTAATATATAAATTAGTGTAAAAAAGCACTTTCGGCAAAATACTAAAATAGAGATCTATCGACAAAGACTACTCACTTCTGCCTAGCTTACAATAGTATGAGATTGACGCAGCTGATAGGGTGAATTTCGGAAGAGAATGCTCTCTCTGGTTATTTCAGCTGCCGTTTTTAAAAGCGCTATATGTTGAGCCACCTCAGCTAGATTTTGCATGTGACATTTTTAGCGGCAGTCATTGATCGATTTTCTAGCGTTGCCAATTGGGGAGTTGTAATGGGGCTTTTTTTGTTGCCGTGTAAGAGAAATATATATAGATTTCGCGACTAATCACTGTAACAAGTTTTTCTGATGTTGGCCTAAATAAGTTTTTAATACAAACGAAATGCTCCATTTGAGAGCCTAGACAAAGCTGGAATGAGAAAAGGAAAAAACAAAATTCACGATAAAAGCTAAAAATGTAACCTTTATTCAATCTTTAAGAAAACAAGCTTGGCATTCCAATGACTCTAATAAGTTTAAAAAAGCTTTAATTTCTCGTCAAGCTTACTATGCCAACCAAATGAAAAGGAAAATACAACGTTTGCCGTAAAGTTGCCTGCTATTTAAGTATTAATTGTACTTTTAGATATTCCCCATTTCGTATTAAATCTTGATCATTCTGAAACTTTATCTTATTTCAATTAAAAAGGATTGAAAATAAATCGGGTAATAATGCAAATTCGTTACGATTAAATAAATTTACTTTTATTTTGGAATTGTAATTGTTATGAAATTTTAATTATATTATATTAATGATGAATTTCATTTCTGTATATTTCTCCCATATTGAAGTTAATCCATTTCGATGTGACTGTGAGTTTCTACCTTTTATCCAATGGATCTTCGCCAATCCAAAAGCTCCTGATGTGTTTAGAGGCAAAGGCATCTGTGTACCAGAATTCCCAAGCGATAATCATCATTGCCCGTCACAATGCGATTGCTACTGTGCAAATGATGATGAAGAGTACTTCATGGCAGTGGATTGTAGCTCCAAAAATGTCTCAATCATACCTCAGTTTCTTACAGCTTATAGTGTAGAGGTTTGGTAGTTTTCTCATTTGGTATATGCTCTATTATAAATATTTACCATTAAATTGTTAAATGAAGTTTTATAAAAAATGATATTTCCTTACATTTTTTTAAAGATTCATGTCAAAAATTTAAAATTTTAAACAACTTTAATAGCCTCAAACAGTCCTTATAAGTTTTATTTTATTTAAAAGTATTATTGCACAAGTAGAAAAATTACATTGGTTTTGAGTGAAAAAGTCAGCAAATATAGCATTATTCAAATGTTTTATTATCTTTTAATATTGTATAAAATGCTTTATTCCATTTTAAAATACAGATAATGTTTGCACAACAAAGAATTTTTTTTTCAGGAAGAAATGTCAACAAATTTTTAATAGAATATAAAGCATCTTGCATTTAAGAATATATTGTTTTCTTGACACCTTTAAGTTCCTTAAATAATCCGTAGTTTAAAATTAATTTAAGTACTTTTATAAAATTTTAATTTGAATTTTATAATTTATTAAAATCGAAATGGTGAGAAAAAATAAGAAGGAAATATTAGAGATATTGATGTCAACCAGATGTCAATATGAGATCACAATGAGATTTACAATGTCGCAAGGGTCTCACCATTGGACGAAACTGTGACATATCCACGTCTTACAGAGTCACCATGTGACTAGGTCCTCTCAGTAAGCTATGTTGTAATCATCACACGGTAACGTTACTGAATGTAATAACCATAACATTCAAAGTCGCAGACATGAATGCAGTGACGTAATGACTTGAAAACTACATTAATATTGTTCATTTACGAAAGTTCGTACCCAATTACAATAACTATAACTATAGTAATTAAATTTATAGATTTTAAAAGGTGTTACACAAATCTCAAATTTTCCTAAAGGTTTAGCTTTATTCACATTTTATTGCTCTTTTTATTCAAAAAATTATAAAATAAAGTTCAATACTGCATTCTTTAAATTGTACAATATGTCAATTTACTATATGTTTTCAAAATATGAATTTTTGTCTATTTTAACTTTTCCTTGTAAAGTGATATGTTTAACTTTAATTTATTTACAAAAATTTAATATAAAATATTACAATAGTACTAAATTAAAGACAAAACTATTTAATCATATTTTGTTTTTGTTTTTTTCAGAATTCACCTTACTTTAAAATTAATTTAACATTCCGTTTTCATATGAATAAGAACTATTATACTATTGATGAATCTGTTGTAATTGCTGATACAGTTGGAGAAATTAACCTATCTGACAATAACTTGGAGTCTTTGACAAATATACAAATACCTAATGGTCTACGTCGTCTGTTCTTACATGACAATAAATTGAAAACTTTGCCAAATTCGTTACTAGCAGATTTTTCAAGACTTCGACTAGTGTCGGTTTTTAGCAATCCATGGAGTTGTGATTGTCATGCCATTGACTTTCGAAGATGGATTGTTACAAATCATGAAAAAGTGAGAAGAGTTTATTTTCCTTAACAAGCATGTATAAATCATCGTTCTGAGGATTTAAATGCTTATTGACAATTTCACAGTATTCTGCCAAACGCGAAATTCATTTTGTGATATTTTGATCATTAAGTGTTTTAAAAAACTACAATTTAAAATTCACGTGTTGATTAGTCTTTATTGTTAACTATAATGCCTTTTGACATTAAAATATTTTACGTTTACTCCTTCAATGTTAATTCCGTTAAAAAAATGAAGAGTGTTTTGTAACATTTATGTATCGATATTGATTTTTTTTATTTTTAATATTTGATTTCGCAGTAATTTTATTATCCTGAAAAATTACCTAGACAAAGTCACTATAACTTAAGCATCTGCCTCAAGAACAGCTATTTCCCTGAAAAGTGGGGTAAAATCTGACATCAATCTCTTCCCTAAACCAGAAAAGACTCCTTAATTCCCTATGCAAACCCACTTATCTTTTCTTAACTCCTAAAAAAATTTTATTTTGAAAACGACAGCAAAAACATCTACGCATAACATATTGGATACCAGAAAAAAATACAGATAACAGAAACGGCTAGTCGTTTTTAAGAAAGAGACAGCAGTGATGTTTATGTTGAACATAACTAAAAAATCTGTTAGATTCTGGCACAAACGCCTTATCACTAAGCTTTACAGATCTAATATCCCTACTGACATCTTCCGAGCTCTTTTAGACAGAAAGACAACAATTTCAGAAAAAAAAAACGAAGTCAGAATACTTGGAACTATGAGGCCTACCTGGAACTATGAGGTAAATGTGTCGCACGGAAGTATACTTTGAATCCTGCTATATACATATCATTTAAACATCACGTTTACTAGGAAAATTAAAAAGAACTAATAAGATTTAATTCTGACGGTACAGAATTTCTTGTCAGTTCCATCAAGCTGAATCATGATGTTGTTGTGTTTCAAAATAAAATTAAAAACTAAGAAAATGGCTCTACAATTGACGCACAAAAATTCACCTTGACAAGTCAAACCAGCTTATTGTTATTATTTGTGCTGCCTGCTTCTTGAGTAATCTACAATAATAAAGGGAAGAGTTTGTGTATCATGAGTGTGTCGCTTTCTTATAAATCCAGAGCAGTTTATGAAATTTCCTGAAATTTCAGCAATGGGAGAAAAGAGCAATTTTAGCCCCGACCCTAAATTTCATCCAAAAAGGTCAATCAGATCGTTTGGGAGAGACACTTAAAAATGCCGTTGTTGAACATCAAACAAAATTTTGAATTTACAACTACCAATGTTCAATTCCATGGCTTTGTAATTTTGAACCCAATCTAGAAGACAGGGGAACTCCTGAGTGGAGTACAGGGGGAAATGTTTCATTGTGGAAGACTTTCTAATGAAACTTACCCACATTTGAAATACGTGCAATAAAAAATCACGAAAACCTCACACTGTTAGACTGACGCAAAGAGACTCCAACCCATGATCCGTCTACCACTGAGGATATTTTACGTCACCACTGTGATCGTTGCGAGACGGGTGCGTAATTCGTGGGATTCGAAACTGAGTTCACCTGATTACGAGGTCAGCGCTCTTTCCCCTGGGCCACCACGGCTCTTTTCCTAAAATTGCAATTTTCAATTTATTTTGAATTTCAGACCAATACTAATTAGGTCAAACATTAAAAAAGCCGCTTTCTACGAGACAAAGATCAGGCACTAATAGTAAGCTTTTAGTCTTCGTTTTAAATCGAGAGTATAATTATATAATTGATATTATTCGTACTATAAAAAAAGGTTTATTTAAAAAAATATGGATTTCATTCTTTTAAATACATGCTCTTTTTTTCTCATAACACCGATATTTAATCGTTCATTCACTTTTTTGTTTTTAGATTAAAAATGTGAATCAAACGTTGTGTGGCAATGTTGGGGAGTCGGGAGACGATTTGCTGAATGGAAAAGCTATATGGACGCTAGATGAAAAGGATTTATGCCAAACCTTTTTGGAATTATATTTTTTGGTTGCTTTTGGATTTATTGGTTGGTATTCATTAAGTATAAGGTGCTCTGTAATCACCACCTTTAACACATACATAGCTGTTGTTTTCTTAATCATTGTCAACAATGAATATTTGTTCATTAGGATCCGTGAACAACATTTAAGTAAGAGTAAAAGATGATGAAATTCAGACGAATAATTTTCTCTTAAATAATTTGCTCTGTCTTTGTCCTTCAATTAACGTCCTTTGAAAGTAAAATTGTTTTATTTTATCCACTTTAGCGTGAGCTACTGCTTCATGCTGCATGTTGTTTGGTTGAATAACACAGAGGCTAATGCCGGCAAATAAAGTATTTATTAAAACATTATATGAGGAAACAATAGTTCGCACACACAGTGCTACACATCTGAATCAACCAACAACTAGTCAGCTTCTTTAACAAATATATATCTATTTCCCCTATCGGGAAGTCGTTGTATTACATCACGCAACTCATTTGAGAAGGAGAGGAAAAATGAGATTTTATTTGCATATTAACAACACTCCCCCTGCGAATAAATACACATTTTTCCACAAAATATAAAACATAAATATACTAAATTTCTCATACAACTTAAACTTATTAACAATTAATCAATTAATTTTATTTGTGACACAGTCCAAGTGAGCTTGTCAAAAGTTACAGCTTTAGTTAGGAAATCTGCGATCATTTCGTCCGTTTGCACATACTCTACTTTAATAATTTTGCCAATTATATCCTTTACGTAATGAAGTTTCAAATTGATATGTCTCGTTCTAGAATATGATTTTGCACTATTCAACCAATCAATCGCAGATTGATTGTCAGACGAAATGGTCACAGGTTTCTTTACAAATATAGAATAATGCAATTCTTCTAATAAATTTAATATCCACATTAGTTCTTTACAAACACCACCTAAAGAAACAAGTTCCGCTTCACAAGTAGATAGTGCAACTGTTTTTTGTTTATTGCTCTTCCATGAAATTAAAGAATCACCTAACATTACAATTTCTCCTGAAAATGATTTCCCATTTTCAGCATTTTCCCAGCTTGCATCGGCATGAGCATTCAAAAGTCCTGATTTGTTACTAAAAAATAATTTTTTATCCTTTGTACCATTGAGATATTTTAACACTCTTTTAGCTAAATTAAGATGTCGTTTCTCAGGTTTATGATTAAATTGAGATAAGTATGAGTAGCTCATGACAAATGCTAAGTCTGGTCGTGTTCTGTTCGAGAGATATAAAAGTTCCCCTATTAATTCTTGATATTGTGTTTGGTTAACCACTTCGTTTGAACAATTAAAACTCCTATCCTCATCTCTTACGATTGGTGTTTTTACACATTTAGAATCAAACATACCATGTTTCTGCAGTAAATAGTTTATATATTCAGTTTGAGACAAAGTTACGCCCTTCTCACTTTTATTTATTTCTATACCTAGAAATTTATTCTCTTTACTTTCTTTCACTTCAAATATCCGAGATAATTTTCCCACGATATCATTATACATTTGTAGATCTGAATAAATAACTATTAAGTCATCGACGTATATTCCAATATAAAAATACTTAGAATTCTCTATTCTAGTGAAAATACAATTATCCGAAGCTAGCTGTTTTAAACGAAGCTTTTCTAATTCCCGTTTAAGGTGTAAATGCCAATTTCGACCTGATTGGGGTAATCCGTAAAGACTACGTTTTAACTTGCATACTTTATTTTCACCATACAAATGTTTAAAACCTGGGGGAATAATCGTATATACAGTTTCTTCTAAATTACTATAAAGATATGCAGTTTTAATATCTAAAAATTTTACTTCTAAATTTAATTCGGCAGATAATGCTAACAACAAACGCAAAGATTCGGTACTTAACACGGGTGAATAAGACTCTAAGTTATCACGATTGTAAGCATCACTAAGTAAACATCGTGTTCGTGAATGGAATTTAATTCTTCATTCAATGCTTTTTCCCATTTTAACCAATTTTTATCACGTTTAGCTTCATCAAAATTACCCGGAATATTAGTTACTAAGTTTGAACTTGCTTTTTCCTTCTTTCTATCTGATCGACGTACACCTAGATCTAGTAACCTGTTTTCGTCTTCAATTATTCGTTATTCATTTAATTCCCTAATTTTTTCTTTTGTTGCACCTACTGGACGACCGCGAGTTTTCGTTTCACTTAAATCTCGGCTATCATTCAAATCCAGCGGAAATTCAAAACTTGTATTTTGGTCTTCTACATTAGTTTGGATATTAAAAAATTCCTCGATGTCATTAGATTTATCTTCACCGAACAAATTACTACTACCTAATAATTTCTCATTAAATTTTACTGAACGCTCTTCGATTACTTTATTTCTTTCAGGATCGTAAATACGATAAGCTCGTCTTTGATTCGAATATCCCAACATAATACCTTTTTTACCTGGAATAGAAAGTTTGTGTCTTAAAGCTTTAGGAACGTGATAGTATACTGTAGATCCAAAAACACGTAGATATTTATAGTTCTGCTTTTTATTAAAGAATAATTCTTTTCGAGGAGTCAGGTTAGTAACATGTGTTGCATAGGCTATTGCTTCAGCCCAAAAATTTAAAGGAAGTTTACTATCATAGATTAATGTTCTAGCTCTATCTAACAAGACTCTATTAGCTCGTTCAGCTTTACCCAAACTTTCTGGGTTGTACCAGGGCTAAAGAGAATAGAAGGGCTGGTTCACTCCTTTGAAGTATCTTTCGCGTCACTAAGTGACGCGAGAGAGTGAAAGAGAAAGTGACGAGAGCGAGAAAAGAAAAAGTAAGAGCGATGAGAAAGTGACGTCACTCTAGTGACGTCACTTTGGCGCAAAGCTCGCACTTTTACTTCAAGAACGGAGCGTTTGGCCTTACTAGCTCTAACTAATATTGGATCATTTCTTTTTGCGAGATATTCTAAGACATTTGTTATTTTCTATAATGACTTTCCTCAGTTTTTGCAGTGAATTTACAAGATATTNTTTTAAAAAAATAATTAAAATGAACTAATTTTTTTTAAGAAGATGCGTTTTACAGAAAATAATAATTATTCTCAAAAGTTTATTAAATATTTCGTTTCTTCCTCTAATGTAACTTTTTTCATTTGAACTTTAAATGCAAATAAAATGTATGGGCTAACTAAAGCGCAGTTGCTATTTCATTTCTAATTTTTATAATAATAATCGTTTTTATTAGAATAATAATCGTTATACAATAATAACGATTTTATTTATAATAATATCGTTTTTATTTATAATAATATCGTTTTTATTTATAATAATAATCGTTTTTATTAGAATAATAATCGTTATACAATAATAACGATTTTATTTATAATGATATCGTTTTTATTTATAATAATATCGTTTTTATTTATAATAATAATCGTTTTCATTTCTAATTTTTATAATAATAATCGGCAATAAATATCGTTTTTGAATAAGCTACATTTTTTGTAATTTTATTCAAAAATAAGTAAGTTTTATTAATCAGTTAGATAGTTCACTCTTGTCGGTCAGAACTGTATTCTTTATTTCAAAATGATTTAAAAAACACTATTTATAAGTAGATTTTAATGGTTTAAAGAAGTTTAGTTAATTGTGCAAAAATGGTTACAGAAGCTTATTTTAAAGTTAAAACACGCAAAACAAATTTTCTTTGAATATTCCCAAATTATTTTTCTAGTCAAAAGCAGGAAGTAAATTTTAAACAGTCACATTTCTCTCTGGTTTAATACATTCAAAATTCCATCAAAATTAGGTGTTTTCACTGAATTTAAGATAGAATTCTTGTTCATTTTTTTTTTGCATTTCCTTCATTGTTTGTCTTTTTTTAAATGTTGTAGGAAAAAAATTAATTAATTTGCCTGAATATAAATGAACACAATTACAAGGGGGAATAATTGACTTTCAATTTTTTTCTGATGTAATTCAGAATATTCGAGACAATTAACTCGAAATAAGAAAAAACACATATCTCGTATTAAAGTCATTATCAATTTACCGCCGATATAAACTTTAACGTTTGTTTCGTTCTCTCTACTTTTATTAATAAAAAAAATATATATTGGACATCCATTTAATAAAAATGAATGTTTCTTTTTATCTTTTAGGTTAAGAGCGATCGTAGCTTCAGCTCTAAGAGCGGAGTGAACTAGCCCTTCTATTCTCTTTAGCCCTGGGGTGTACGGCACAGATTTTTCATGTGTAACTCCGCATTCAGTGAAATAAAACTCAAGATCTTTGTTTACAAACTCAAGACCATTATCACTACGAAATTACTTAATTTTCTTTTTTATTAAGTTTTCAAATTTCAGCTTAAACCTTAAAATTTTATCAAATACTTCGGTTTTGTTTTTAAGAAAATAAGTAAAATACATGCCAGAAAAATCATCTACTAATATTAAAAAATATCTTGAATTACCCAAAGACTTAACTGGGAATGGCCCACACAAATCACCATGTATTAATTCTAAACTTGTTGATCTTTGAGGAGTTAAAATACTAAAATGAGGTTTTCTGGTAATCTTAGAAATATCACATGATTCACAAGACAATTCATTATCAATTTTTAAATGTAACATTTTACACATTTTACGCATATAATCAGCATTTAAATGACACAATCTTTTATGCCAAATTACATTCATTTCAGCGTTATTTTTAACTTTGTTACACTCAGAAAGACATACATCGTTATTAACATTAGGTTTTAGCTTAACTTCTAATTTTTTATTCACATTTAAAGCTTTCAAAACTACGCGTCCATTAGGAGCAATAATTAATACTGAGTTTGAATGTGATTTTAAATTATACCCCTTATCCATTAAGCATGTAACTGACGGTAAATTATGACGTAATTCTGGTACATACAATACATTACTAATTAAAATTCTTGCATTATTACTTAGTGAAATAGCTTTAACAGTTCCGGTTCCTTTAGTATCCAATGTAAAAGTCTTACCTGCCTGGTATATTTTGCTGTCGTAAGCATCTATAGATTCGAACCAGCGTTCATCTTTGCACATATGAGACGTGGCTCCGCTATCCAGGATCCAACATTCGTCCACTTGTCCTTTCTGTTCAGCTGAAACTAAGGCGAAATCCTCTGGAGTAGCACTTTCGGATACCAGTGTTTCTTGAAAATTTGGTTTTCGACGACCTTTTGCTCGACTGGTCGGTGGTTTGTAGTCTCTATCTGTTCCCACTTCTTGATGTTTCGAATAACAATCCCTTGCTATATGTCCCGGTCGTCTACAGGCGTAGCAAATTTTCCTAGGTAAACTCTTCTTCTGAGTAGCATATGCGGATTCCAAATTTCTATGTCCACGGGATCTCTGTAGTAAATCTTTTTCTTCTTCCCTTAAGACTTCAAGTATTTCTTCTACCGACTTTTCTCGTTACGTTTTTAAAACTTGTTTTATGCGCTCATATTTTCCAGCTAGACCTCTGACCGTGTAGAACACTAATTCTCTGTCAGATATTTTCAGTCCCAAGGAAGCACACTTAGTCGATAATCCTTTAGCTCGAGCTATATAATCGTTTACGGCTTCTGAATCCAGCATTTCTAAGCTCTTAAGTTCGGCACCCGCATCAATCTTTTTATCTTCCTCAAGCCCAGTGTAGGTAGTTTTAACTCTTGTCCACAAAGCTTTTGCATTCTTTTCTTCTGCATATTGCAAAGCCTGTTCATCTGATAGCGACAACTTCAAGTATGATACAGCATCTTGGTTAGTAGTTTCCTAAACTTGCAATTTACCAGGGTCAGTTGGAGCTTTCTCTGTCAATGCCGACATTAGTTTCTTGAGATTCAAAACCGATTCCATTTTCATGGTCCAAAGATGATAATTAGTTCCAGACAACTTCGGAATTCCAAAAACTAAGTCCTTTTCCATGATGATCGTAAACCACGCTCTGCTACCACTGTTGTTTGGTTGAATAACACAGAGGCTAATGCCGGCAAATAAAGTATTTATTAAAACATAATATGAGGAAACAATAGTTCGCACAGTTCGCACACACAGTGCTACACATCTGAATCAACCAACAACTAGTCAGCTTCTTCAACAAACCCATATTATATAAAGCGCTAATACGTACGTATGTATCAATAAAACCGATGATATTTCTTTTCTCGCGCTGGCAACAGTTTTCATTTTTAATTGATTGGATTCGGCGCGCAAGAGCACGTAGTGAGCATCATATGGCTAATCCATGTTATATAAAACGCTAATACGTTTTAATTGATAGGCTTCGGCGCGCAAGAGCACGTAGTGAGCATCATATGTCTAATCGGGTGAATTCTCACCGAATTATCAAAAAAATTCTCACAAAATTATCTTCATCGAAGCCGATGCTTTACATCCGGCGTTCAGTACTATTTCATATTGTTTTACAACACATGGTTTTAGCCCTCTGGTGGGAAAGACTTTAAAACAAAACTTACAACAGTTACTTTTCTCAACAACTGAAATTTAGAATAGTGTGATTAAGAAAAATATGCGAACTCTTTGCAATTTCAAATTAATATTGAAATGCAGGGGTTTAGAATTTTCTACAGTGAAAAGTCTTCGGAACTTCAGTGTTCAAAATAGTATACAAAAGCTAGGCGGTAAGAACGTATCCAATGAGCGAGCAAAGCGAGCATCGGATTGCGAAGGGGTTTAGCGAGCGCCAGCGAGCAGGGGGCGAAGCCTCCTAGTATATATCTATTTCCCCTATCGGGAAGTCGTTGTATTACATCACGCAACTCGCGCAACTTATTTGAGAAGGAGAGGAAAAATGAGATTTTATTTGCATATTAACAACACTACAACTGAAAATAAAATTAGTACAATTTGAATGAGTGCCTTCAAATTCTGACTTTTTGTACTGCGTGGAAAAGCTCCATGTTATAAAAACCTTACTAGATGACCTTAAATATGAGGAAAATAACGTAATGATTTCAAATATTTCATTCTTCCTTTTTTTCAAATTTTTTTAGTACTTCTGACCCTTCAAACTATTAAGTATGTAAAATCCGAACTAATGCTCGGAATTTACTAACTTAATAATTTGCAGGGTCAGGGGTCGTTTTACCGTAAAATTTACTTTTTTTGTTTCCAATGTCCACCCGATTGACACTCGTCATTCAGGTACTAGTAGGACAGATTTGTTGGCCACTCCTTCATGGACACCATATTAGGTGGGCCAACGTTGCTCCCACAGTAAGGACAGACAGCACAAATCATGAAGGAACATCTATGCCATGTCCGGAATTCGAATCCAGAACCTTTCTGGTGTGAGATCAGATCCCTGACTACTGCACAATCCGGTCGGCTTAAAGCATAATATAGAAATATTTTTTTTAATAAAATTTCATTTAAAATCATTTGGTAAATATTTATAATAGAAATATTTATATTATTTAACAAATTTAATAGCTTTCTTCTTGATCATCACTGTCTTGAAGATAGTGCATACAAGGTATAAAATGAACATCAATGCTTGGCTCTATGCACATGGAGTTATATGGGTAAAGGAAAAAGATATCGACAGGGATAAAATTTTCGACGCATTCTTATCATTCAGCCATAAAGATCAAGATCTGGTCATAATGGACATTATTTCTGGTAAGAGCCTTGATTAACTATTTAGCATAATTTTAAAAAGCAGAATCATTCTTAGTCAGTTTTAATTAGTGGTTTCAGATAAAAATGAGAGTAAACATGAATGTTATTAATTTCATTACGTAAAGCTTTACATTCCTCTTCTACACTTACATTTATATGTTAAATAGAAAACTACAAGAGTTTTAAAACATATTAACATATAATGCAAAATTATGTTATTAAAAATAATAATTACTGTTTTAGTTTCACACTGTAAAAAATGGATGCTCAAATTTAACGAAATCTTCCGATACCGTTTCCTGGTATATGCTCCGACCAAAAACTTTATCAAAGTGACATAAAAACTATCGTCATTTCTCCAAGGAAACGAGTTTCGTCAAAATTTAAAAAAGAAATTTTTCTATTCTATTCTTTTTTTCAAAAAAAAAACTGATAGCGCCTAATGTATTTAACTTTTTTAATAATCACTTTATCGTGGACACCATATTGGTAGATCAATGTCATCCACACAAATCAATAAAGACTGATAGGACAGAGAGTTAAATCATACTCATACCCAAACCGAGATTCGAACCAGGAATCCAGGTGGGAGGTAGTCACGTTATTTTCGATCAATCTAGTCTTCATTTTAGTTAGAAATCTCCTGCAATTCACTACGACAAAGTTCCGTAATTGAGGACAGATTTTTGTCATAAATTTGAGTGTTCGTCGCAAACCACGCGTTTTTGTGACGAAATGATTTTCAAAATTAACGAAATACAGCTTAAAGATTGCTGAATTGTCAAATGTGAGAGTTTTATTCCTGAGAGGTCAGATGCCATATTTTTTTATAAGCTGAGTCGTTTACCATTAGCTTCTACGAATAGTTATGACAACTTATGAAGGTCACTGTCGACATTGGAACATTCTACGACCAACCGTTCGAACGGGATGAGCGGAAAACGAAAGGAAATTTTTTGATTGGTTTAGCGTTAGCCATTGTTTTAAATTTAACTATATATGATTCAAATTTTCTCATATTGATTGATTTCTCATATTGATAGTGATTATTACTAGCTTAGAGCTCTATTTGATCAAAACAATAGCTTATTACACGCATTTAAATTTTCCATTATTTTATATCGCTATTTAAATTCAATAATCAACATTACGTGATAGCACGCAGGGTCTACACCACCAAATTTATACTTTTAAAGTTGCATGATACTACGCGCATTTTTTATCCATAATAATTTTCTTAAGGGGACAATGGACGTTCAAAACCAAAAATTTTAATTTTCCTCCTAGCCATATGAAATTTTTATTGAATATTGGTAAGCTCAATAGAAGCCTGTGTATAATTTTTTTTAAGAAAACGTTAATTATTTTTCAAGTTACAGCTAAAAGTATATTTTTAATTAACGATAAATTAGCAATACATAAAATGTCCCTTGCGCATCAGTTTTGCTTTTTTCAAAATTATTTTTGTACAAAAAAGGAGGTTATAAGTACTTTAATGTATTTAACTTGTTTCAGGTACAATATAGAGCAATAATGTGTATCAAAAGTTTTTTTACACATCGCTCTTAAATTTTCATCAAAAAATTACTATTCATAAACTTTCGTTTAAATATTAGCAACACAAATTTTTGTGCAATGCTAACTAATTGTAGTTCTATCTTTAGAACAAACATCAAATAATCCCTGAAAAAAATTTCAGAGCAATAGAGTAAAAATTGATGCACAAGGAACTTTTCGAAGATGGAAAATCGTCCAAAAATCTTATTCTGGGAAAAATCTATATTTTTCAATGCAAATGACTTACAACATACAGATTGAAACTCTTATAACTCGTTAACAAAATCTCCAATTTGAATTCTGTTTGCTGTATATTATTCAGAAAAGTATGATTTTTTTTAATATCACAAAAAACAAAAACACCAAGTTTTAAGGATTTTTCGTATTTCGAACGTCCATTGTCCCCTTAAAAAGTGTTTCTAGAATTTTTTTTATTTAAAATCAAAGGTAATCGAATAAAAAATATATATAAATTTAAAGGCAAAATTAGTATGTGTGTGGTACTAACTCGTTAAAGTGAAAAGTAAAAAAAACTACATTATTATTGACCATATTATTACTGACACTTAATTACTCAAGGTAATATATTCATTGTGAAATGAAAAAATAAATAAGCTATGCACTAGAAAAGAAAAGTAATGGAATAAATATAAAGATATTTATTTGCCCACAAGAAGAGTAAAAATCATAATGCTATCATTGACGACAATGATGCTTAACCCCTTAACGATCGGTAATTTTCAAGAAAACGGTCATAAAAGTGCCTTATTTTTTTGGCTTTTGCATTTGTATATGTATTTATTTAGTGCTGCAACTAGTTTAAAATAAACTAACTATCTACAATTTCCTTAAAAATATCCTGGTACTGCCATCAGGCGTATGAAATGAGAAATAAATTTTTTTCCGGGAAGAAGAAATGAATTAGTTTTATTCTTATTGGCTCGTTACTACTGAACACTCCAGCCCGTCAATATCACGGGAGCGAGAAATAGCGGACGAAATCTCGCTATGTTATTTTAACGGGAGCGAGAAGGAAGGGGTTAAATAATGTAGGTAATATGTAAATTGATAAGAAAAAACTTATATACTAAAAAGCAAACATAATGGGAAGAAGATTATTTTTCATTTAAGAGAGCTGTAAAAATCGCCATATTATTATTGACACTAATGCTTTATTGATAATATGCATAAATTGAAATAAAATTTAAAAAAAAGCTATGTGCTAAAAAGCGAAGCAGAAAATCGCCATTCACAGATGACGCCTAATAATTGTGTACTACTGCTACTGACGATAATATGTACAGTGCGCCAAAAAAAAAAACGACCACACTGAATAACTTTTGATCTAATGATCATTTTAGGACATCTTAATGGCTCGAGGAGGAGGACTTCAAATATGCTAATTAATAAGTGCAGACAATATTTTAAGTTGTAAAATCAGATACAAAAACGTTCTTTCTCTGAATAAACCTACCTTTTTTTTGGAGGATTCGGGTTTTTGACCTCCAAAATATAGGGGTAGCAGCAGTCTGGGAAATATGTTCACTATAGTTTGGTCGGGAAAGCAGTCCATAGTTTGAAACGCTTAATGTTAATTTTACTTTTTGCGTATTTAACTATATCTCGAAAACTTATCAAGTAAATTCAAAAAAAAAAATTCAAACAATTATAAAATTCGTTTGTCCGAAGATAATGAAATGCAAAAAATAACTTTTGATAAATATTTATTATTTTTTGTTATTTTATTCAATAATAGTCGAAAAAATTTTGAATTGTAAGGTACAAAGTTTTCTTGCCTCATTTTCAAAAGTATATGTATCCGCACGGATTTGTAGCGCCACCTAGTATAACTTGTAACACTTAAAGAGAGAGAGCGTGTGTGTGGAAGCAGAGCTGTAACGAGCTACAAAAAAGCTCTCTTCCAAATAATAAGAAATAAATATTGTGCAAATATACAGTCCGCTTTTTTTCTGTTTATTGAGCGAGTTCATATTTACCTGAGCGTCGACATGAGTGGTCCGCTCACCAGGAGGAATAATCAGCAAAATTAAAATAATTAACGAAAAGAGTTTCGTTTTGAGTTCCAAGAGATAACCATTGTGGACAGTGTTTCGAGAAAACTGTGTATTCGAGCTTTCCCATTCAAAGTAGGATTGTTTTGATTTTTTAATAAAATACTTTAATTTGCAATGTTTAAGAATTGTAAAATAGATGATATAAGGCTTATTGCCTGCGAACTAGATCTAGAGATTAGTGATGATATGACTGTGGTAAACTTAATTGATATAATTAAAAGTTGTGAAAAATATAAAACTGACTCTGAAACTGTAAGTGATCTTGTAAATTTAATAGTAGAAGAGCGCAAGTCTGAAGAATCAAAACAATTAAAGTTAGAGAATATAAAGCTCAAGAGAGCTAAAACTGAACTAGAAATTGCACATATTCGTGCTGAGCCATAGGAGTTCGAGAGAACAAAAACTGAATTAGAAATTGCACGCATTCGTTCTGAGCCAAAAGAGAATAATATAGAGCTAATTGAATCTCATAATTCCCTAGATTCTTTGATTAAGAGCATTAGAACATTGACCATTAAAGTTCCGAGTAAACCCGAAAATTGGGGATTCTTTTTTACAACGTTAGAACGAGCATTTATAGTTAAGAGTGTGCCAGATAAATATAAATCTGAGATTCTTCTTAATCTGCTTGGAGAAAGATCGTCTAATAATATCACATATGTAAGTGATGATGATCTTAATAATTATGAAAAAGTGAAAGAAATAGTACTTAGAGAATTTCAGTCAACGGCTCAATCTTGTCTGGAAAATTTCAAAACAAGCACACGACAGTTAAATGAAACGAGTAGTTATGTCTGGAATTAAAACAAAACAGTTCTTTTGAGTACTGCAATTTGTTCTTTATGTGATTCTTTTGGAAATGAGAGTGATGTTCGTGTTTTATTAGATTCGGGATCTATGTCTAATTTCATAAGTAAAGAATGTGCAGATCGCCTACAATTGAGAAAGAATAAAATAAACCTAGTAGTGTCTGGGTTGAATGATTCAGCTATTTCTGTTAGGTCTCAAGTTAATGCTACTTTAATAAATAAAGCCCGAACTTTTAACGCAGATCTAAATTTATTAGTTGTTCCTAGAATTACGGAGTCATATGAAAACACTGGTTTATGACACCCCTGTTGATAATGCTGGTTGCAAGAATCGCAGTAGCTGCCTGCGAGATATGCCTGGAGTAGGGCAGAATGTTCGAATGTCCATCCGCCGGAGATGTGAGGTGTACATTGTAGCCGGTGGCAAAAACTTCGAACACTTACTTTGGCCCATGTACCATATAATTTTTTCAATGTATTATTATAGCGATTTTTCACTTACGGTCTCTTTTCTTTATGGTGCTTCTGTGTACGTCACCGCTTCAGGAAAGCATTTCCGACCCCACATTGCTATATGATTTCAAGTCGTCAGGGTGCCCCCTACCCCTCTTAGAAGTTCTGAAACGCTTAACTGAGACACCCTGTATATTACGGTCCCTCGAAAGGTATATGCACCGGAGAAAATTACTTGATAGTGGTAAATTTTGAATATTATGAATTGGCCGCGAACAGTAGTATCATGCCAAGTGAGGCTAAATACATTTTATCTTTATACTAATGGGATAAACTACAAAAAACGAGTTTTGCTTACTTCAATAACGTAAGGCCACCCATTAGGACTACATATAGCATTAAATAAAAAGAAAAGCGGAATTACTTTAGTTATATTAATTGAAAGCGACATTTGCAGAACGAAAAAAAGCTGTATCCGAACTATTTTATACCAATTTATTAGAAGGGGGGACTAATAATTCTTTGCTTTATTTTATTTACCACTGCCTAATTTAAAATAAAAATCCTGCAAGCATACTAAAGACTAATATGATAACTTGTGTTAAGATTAAAGTAGGCAAAAACAGGATCTGTTACATTAAACATACCCATATTGATACAGTCATTTTTCTGTTATTTTTTCTTATTCATAACGCTTTTAAAAATTTCACTTCTGTGTCAGTATAGGCTTTTCAGTTCTGAGCATAATTTCGTAATGTTTCTCAGCAATGATTTATTGATTATTTGCTCTTTTTTTTTACTCACTCACTGCGAAGAACGGGTATTCAGCTAGTAAACAAATAAAACTCATTTCTCTTTCCATTGTTTCAGTGATAGAAGTCAAACAGCCTATGACCAGACTGTGTCTTCATTACAAGCACTTCAAAGCTGGGGATTTCATTGACCAAAACATTTTCAATGCTGTTCAAAATTCGAAAAGGACTGTTATCATGCTCTCAAAGTAAGATTCAGATTGCAAAAAATATCGATTGAATATCATTTTATTTTACGCATTTTATTTTGTTTAAGATTCTCCCGCCGTTTGTAATTGATCGCGTAGTCTATGCGTTCGGGAATATTTCATTTACGCATACATGATAAAATCTGTTAATTTTCATAAATACATTTTTTTCACCTGTTTAGTTTGTTGGAGATAAACTATACCAAAAATTGGCAATGAGCGAAAAAGTGTGAGTCGGTCGAGAGATATTAGAATAGAGCTAAAATAATTTTTAATTAGCTCATCATTTTTTAAAAAATAATTAATTCTGTCATAATATTAATTCATAAAAAGCATTCAATTGTCTGCATAGCTCAATTCTGAAAAAAATTAAATGTAAGAAGATTTAAACTTCAGTTTAAATTTAATAACAACAAAACTGAACAACAAACAACAAAGAAACAAATAACCAAAATGTGTCAGAATTCGTTGTTTTTTGTAAGCAAAGGTAACTTTTGATATCGAAAAGTCATTCTTTCATTATTGTTTTCTGAACATCAGAAGATTTGCTTTGTGACTCTGCATAATTATTTTACCCAGTTTGACATTTTTACAAAAGAAAACTATGAGACTTATTTCCCTATGAGAAAACAAATGCACAATTTGAAAAAAATCGTAGGTTTCGATAAAATAGCTCAATATAATTAAACTAATTATTAAACTTTATATAGCTTAGTATAGTATTAAGTATAGGATCAACAAATACTGCCATTTAGCAGTAATTATTGATTTAAGCATACTGTTCCGCAATTCTGCAGGATCATTTTTATGACAGTTTGACATTTTTATAAAAACAAAATATGTACTGTCATTAAACTGATTTCACTTAGAATTTACAAAAGCACAAAATTTGGGAAATTATTGTATGTTTTAATAAAATAGCTCAATATAAACTAAATATTACACTTTTTCCGCTTGTAACAAACCAGAAATTTCTGTCATTTAGCAAAAATAAACTCGTGGAAAAAAGGAAAATTAATCTAATAGCGAAAACTTTAGTCTTTCGATTTTTTACAGCCGTCGTTGAACAACCTACCCAATTTTGAGTGTACGACTACTAAATTTTAACTCCGTAGCATTGTAATTTTGAATCCAATTCAGAGGACAACGGAACTCTTAGATCAAGTATTGAGGGAAATTTGGTTTTGTGGAGGACTTTCTTATGGAACAAACCCGCATCTGCACAACACCTCCTAGAAAAGAGTAGACCTCTGCACGGGTTACCATAAATATCCTCTAGTAGTCCAAACGTAATGACATATTTCGTATTTTCAACCACTGCGCAGCTTAGTACCCCGAACGTAATGACATCTTTTTTATTTTTCATCAACTGCGCAGTTAACTTCGTCACATCGGACTACTGAATTGATCCGTGCTGAGGCCTTCCTACTTCTAGGAGGTGTTGATCTGCATTACATGGAGAGGAAATCCACGAAAATCGCGAAACGCGGAATTTATACCGACCAGCCATCGCTGTGATACAAATCTGGATCACCTCATTTGGAGGCGATTGCTCTATTTCCTGATTCACCACGACTTAGTCGAAGGCAGTATATGCTTTAGCTTAGGGGTGCACAACCTTTTTGAGTGAAGGGCCACTTGCACAGCAGGTTGTCTAACTAAGGGCCGCACATGTATTGAGACATGTTAATGACAAATGTAGCAATGTTTATTTTAACATTAGTGTTCTATTTTTTTTATCAATAAACTTAGTAATATATTTGTAAAAAATTAAAGGTGTTCCATTTTTTGAATTCATTCAAAAATAAAAAAAATTATACTTTTTTTTACAAAAAAAAATTGCTATTTTAATCATATGAACAATAGATTTATCAAAATAAATAAAAGAAATGTTTTTTTTTAATAATATCATGCAATACGAAAATTCATTTTTGAATTACGAGATGCATCCAGAAAGTAAGCTTCCCTATTTTTTTTTTAAAAAAGAACTCATACTTTCAGGGATATATTTATTGGCAACAAGTGCAGCAATGTTTCAGCTATTTTTCAACATAGCCACTACCAGAATTGACACACTTGTCGTATCGTGGTATCAACGTTTGCATCCCTCTGCCGCATGTAAATGGAACCAGCGTGTGATAGACGTTTTCAGCTCTGCGTCGTTGCCAAAACGCTCACCGGAGGACAGGAATTTCTTGAGGTGCAAGAAAACATGAAAATCGCTGGGAGCAAGATCAGGGCTGTAGGGTGGATGATCAAACAACTCCGAGCCAAATTTCGTCAAAACAGCTGCTTGGTAANGTCAGATAGAGAAATGGTCATGCTCCAAAATTGTTATCAAGTACTAATAAGAATTTTTTCAAAAACATTTCAGCTTTAGTTGACTGTCACTGGCAAATGTATTTTTCACAAAACTTAAATGTTGAAGGGTTTATGTAATAAGTACTAAATATTCTAATGTTGATATATTTGGTGATTATTAAAACAGGTCCAATACTGAGTTTTAATACAGATACTTCGGAAATAAGTATATTACAGTCCCTCGAAAGGTATATGCACCGGAGAAATTTACTTGATAGTGGTAAATTTTGAATATTATGAGGCCACCCATGATTTTGAATACGTCACTATGATTTTGAATACGTAAGGCCACCCATTAGGACTACAAATAACATTAAATAAAAAAGAAGCGGAATTACTTTAGTTATATTAATTGAAAGTGACATTTGCAGAACGAAAAAAAGCTGTATCCGAAATATTTTATACCAATTTATTAGAAGGAGGGACTAATAATTCTTTGCTTCATTTTATTGACCACTGCCTAATTTAAAATAAAAATCCTGCAAGCATACTAAAGACTAATATGATAAATTGTGTTAAGATTTAAGTAGGCAAAAGCAGGATCTGTTACATTAAACATACCCATATTGATACAACCATTTTTCTGTTATTTTTTCTTATTCATAACACTTTTAAAAATTTCACTTCTGTGTCAGTATATGCTTTTCAGTTCTGGGCATAATTTCGTAATGTTGCTCAACACTGATTTATTGATTCTTTGCTCATTTTTTTCTTACTCACTCCGTGCGAAGAACGGGTATTCAGCAAGTAAACAAATAAAACTCATTAATATTTGCATTGTTTCAGTGATAGAAGTCAAACAGCCTATGACCAGACTGTGTCTTCATTACAAGCACTTCAAAGCTGGGGATTTCATTGACCAAAATATTTTTAATGCTGTTCAAAACTCGAAAAGGACTGTTATCATGCTCTCAAAGTAAGATTCAGATTACAAAAAATATCGATTGAATATTATTTTATTTTGCACATTTTATTTTGTTTAAGATTCTCCCGCCGTGTGTAATTGATCGCGTAGTCTATGCGTTCGGAAATATTTCATTTACCCACACATGATAAAATCTGTTAATTTTCATAAATACATTTTTTTTCACCTGTTTAGTTTGTTGGAGATAAACTATACCAAAAATTGGCAATGTGCGAAAAGGTGTGAGTCGGTCGAGAGATATTAGAATAGAGCTAAAATAATTTTTAATTAGCTCGTCATTTTTTAAAAAATAATTAATTCTGTCATAACATTAATTCATAAAAAGCATTCAATTGTCTGCATAGCTCAATTCAGAAAAAAATTTAATGTTAGAAGATTTAAACTTCAGTTTAAATTTAATAACAACAAAACTGAACAACAAAGAAACAAATAACCAAAATGTGTCAGAATTCGTTGTTTTTTGTAACCAAAGGTAACTTTTGATATCGAAAAGTCATTCTTTCATTATTGTTTTCTGAATATCAGTAGATTTGCTTTGCGATTCTGAATAATTATTTTACCCAGCTTGACATTTTTACAAAAAAAAACTATGTACTATCATTAAACTTATTTCCCTATGAGCGAGCAAATGCACAATGTGAAAAAAATCGTAGGTTTCGATAAAATAGCTCAATATAAACTAATTATAAAACTTCATATAGCTTAGTATAGTATCAACAAATACTGCCATTTAGCAGTAATTGTTGATTTAGGCAATCTGTTTCGACATTCTGCAGGATCGTTTTATGACAGTTTGACATTTTTATAAAAAATTATGTACTGTCATTAAACTGTTTTCACTTAGAATTTACAAAAGCACAAAATTTGTGAAATTATTGTATGTTTTAATAAAATAGCTCAATATAAACTAAAATATTACACTTTTTCCGCTTGTAATAAACCAGAAATTTCTGTCATTTAGCAAAAATAAACTCGTGGAAAAAAATAAAATTAATCTAATAGCGAAAACTTTAGTCTTTCGATTTTTTATAGCCGTCGTTGAACAACCTACCCAATTTTGAGTGTACGACTACTAATGTTTAACTCCGTAGCATTGTAATTTTGAATCCAATTCAGAGGACAACGGAACTCTTAGATCAAGTATTGAGGGAAATTTGGTTTTGTGGAGGACTTTCTTATGGAACTAACCCGCATCTGCATTACATGGAGAGGAAATCCACGAAAAAATCGCGAAACGCGGAATTTATACCGACCAGCCATAGCTGTGATACAAATCTGGGTCACCTCATTTGGAGGCGATTGCTCTATTTGCTGATTCACCACGACTTAGTCGAAGGCAGTATATGCTTTAGCTGTCTAATCTAGCTACAGCGTAAATAAAACCCCATAAATTTATAAAAAGTGAAAGGCCAATTTTTTTTCTTTATCACTCAAAAAAGTTTATCACATAACAAATACACCGAAGATCTATTGCATTATGACCACCCTGCTAATAACATGTAGGACCACCTTTAGCCTTCAAAACTGATAGCACCCGCCGTGGCATTGATTCCACAAGGTGCTGATAGGTACTCCGAGGTATCTGGTACCAAGCGCTCACCAACTGGTCCTGCAATTTCCTCACATTGCGAGGGGGTAGCGTGGCAGCGTGATTTTGGTTTTCCAAGTATGACCACAAATGCTCGATTGGATTAAGGTCAAGTGAATTTGGGGGCCAAGACATAAATTGAAAGTCACTGGAATGCTTCTCGAGCCAATCCATGACTATTCGACCTTTATGACATGGTGCATTATCCTATAGGTAAACACCATCCCCCGCAGGAAAAACTGTTGCCATGAATGGGTGAACCTGGTCTGCAACTATGTTCAAGTAGCTTACAGACGTCAGGGATTGTGCTATGAGGATTATGGGTCCTAATGTGCCCCATGAAAACATTGTTCCTGGGCGAGAAACCATGAAAACCTGGCGAGCCCATTGTTATAGAAGGAGGGTGGTCATAATGTAATGGCTCTTCGGTGTATAATGTGCTTACAGTAAATTTTTTAAATAAAGTGTCATTGAATTTGTAGGAACTTCCTGGAAAGCGAGTGGTGCATATATGAGTTTCGTGCAGCCCATTTGCAAGCTCTGAAGGATAAAATAAACCGCGTCATAATCATCAAATTGGGAGAGTTACCTGATGATCTCCATCCTGATATCAAAATGTCTTTAGAAAACACGACTTATCTCACTTGGGGTGAGAAATACTTTTGGGACAAACTCTTCTACGTTCTTCCAACGTCTGGTCAACGATAGTCCAAAACTACTAAAGTTAAAGCTGACAACTATTTAATGTTGCATGAACTGAAGTGATAGACAAACGTTGACATGTAATAAAAGAAAAAAAATATTTTATTAAAAATACCTTAGTAATTCAATGTATTCAATGACTACCTGGTGTGTCTTGCATATGAATAATATAAATATCGACTTTACATATAGATATCGACTGACTGATATTATTGATTTAAATTTTGCAGATCATTGGACATAGGTCATTGAACCTCATTATTTATTTCGATAAATGTATTTCTTTTGATGATGCAATTATAATTATAATAGAACACTTCGTAGGCATTTGTTAACTTATTGATTTCACTGTTGGTTGCACTCTCTGAGTGTATTTTTAATTAAAAATATCTCAAAATATCTTTGTTTCTGTTGGTTTTTGCAGGTGTGCAATGCGCAAAAAATAAACGGACCACCCTGAATAACTTTTGATCTAATTATCAGATCTTTACGTTCTAAGATTCAATGATTTGAGAGGGTGACCTCAAATAGGCTAATAGTTAGTGCAGACGATATTTTAATCTATAAAATCAAATAACAAAAGACTTACTTTCTCTGAATAAGCATACTTTTTCTTCAACCGATTTTTGACTTCCAAAATATCGGGGGTCGATAAAATCTAATCATAATTCCATGCATAAACTAGCTTTTAGTAAATATCTTTTATTTATAATAGTAAAAAAATTCAATTGTAAGGTATGCAGTTTTTCACATCTTTTTAAGGAATGTAATTTTAAAAAGCAAACAAGAAGATTTGAGCAAGATCGTTGGAATAGTTCCAAAAAAATCAAGCTTAAGAAATACGCCTTTCTTAAAATTCTATTTTTCAGGAACTGTTCGACCAATTTCACTCAAATTTTCTATTTTGCCTTATAGAATTATATTCTTTGAAAAGATATAAAAATTTTTATATCTTACAATTCAAAAATATTTAGACTGTTATTAAGCAAAATAATAAAAAATTATAAATGCAGTTCTTTTTTTTTTTTTTTTTGCATGAAAATATCTTTTGATAAGTGAATTTTACAATTGTATTCAAACATTTTTTAATTCGCCTTAAATGTTCGAGGCATGGTGAAGTACGAAAAAAATAAAATTAACATTAAGGGATCCAAAGTTTGAACCGCTCTTCTGACTAAACTATTTTGGTGGCTTATATTTTGGAGGTCAGAAATCCAAATCAGTCGGGAAAGGTATGTTTATTCATAGAAAGTACGTTCTTAAGTCTGATTTCATTTGAGGTCATCCTCTTGAACATTTAAGAATGTTCCGATCATTAGATCAAAATTTCTTCAAAGTTCGGGGTAACTTTCGTAAAAAGTTATTCAGAATAAAAAATTTTAAAAAGAATTATGAACCCTGAAATGGAATTTACAACAATTTCCAGTAGAATTTTCACAAACTGGATTTGATGACACAATGTTTCATTCGTCTAAACTTTGCAATTTAGAAATCAAACCAACTCAAATTCGAAAAAAATTAAAAATGCAATAAAATTAATCAAGTAATTAAAATCATATAATCGATAATCTGTAAAAATAAACATCGTATCCCAAATCCAGGAATTTTAAGGGCGGAATCTTTTAAATAATTCAATCTGTTTTAGTTCATTATTTTGAACATGTAGTGTATCTTGGCAGAAGCACTCACTACGATTTGAACACGCCTATTTCGATGGATGGTCCACATGGAACGGTTGACTTGCTACTTGTGATTGTGACATTGTCCTCCTCACGCTGTTGCTTCTCCGTCTCTATCACACACGACGTATGTACTCGACTGCTAAAGGCAACACAGGAGCGACCGTGACCGTGAACTTAATACAGCTCTCACGATCAGCACTCAAAAAGTACGGTGATCTTAATACAGTTCTCCCGGCTTCTCACAAAACAGCAAAGAATCAACTGGTGGTATTCGTTCATCGAATTTTATCACAAATATAATTCTGGTGGGGGAGTACTGTAGTGTATCTACCACTATCAAAAAATAATTCCAATTCAGTGGTATATATGACATGATAACTCGATTCTATGTTGGGGTACTTTTTCGTAGATGAAGGCTGACAGGCTGATGACTGAAGGTCGATGTGACTGTCCCCACAGACATAACAAGGAATTAAAAAGAATTTTTTTCTATAAAGAATCTTCTAAACATTTTTTTGCCATAAATAAAATTTTGCAAACATGATTATCTTCAATATTTTACTCTTTTAAATTTCCTTGTAATAATTTAGTGAATAATTTTTTGTGTAAATGTTTCTATCAACTTTTTAGAAAGAAATTATTACAAGAAGATTTAAGGAAGAAGAGTACAGTTGATATATTCTGAATACATTAAATTTATGATGTAAAATTTTGATGTAATTTTGTTATCTCTTACTGGAATAAAATATTAAATGCATATTATACTAATATTATCGAGCATATTAAATGCTCTATAATATTAAACGCATGTTAGAGTTGAAACAGAGGAAATGACATTTATTTTTTAAAAATATCTCAACAAAAATGAGATAAATTCCACTTACCTTCTCGCACACGTTGTTTTCTTTTTGTTTTAAACAAAAACACAATTCCCAGTATCAATTCTGCAACAAACAAAATGATGTTTCACTAACTTTATACATCATGTAAGTCAGATTCATTTTACTTGAATGAAATGTAAATATAATGCACGCATAATAAAAAAATTAATCAAAGTAAATTTACTTAAACAAATTATATTAGCTAAAAACTAAAATAAAATTAATGCGGAATAGAAAACTGCATATTTTTTACTCTGCAGTAGTAATTTATTTCTTAAACGATAATCGTTTTACTAAATTTTTATCAATGAATTCATAAAATTCGCTACATATTATCGTTTGATTTTGTAATTTTATTTGAGTTCTACGAAACGTCTGGAGTGTTTTGAATGTCGAACCTTAAAGAAAATAAACATAATGCAAATAAACTTTTTTTTCGTACCACCTAAATTAATTTATACTTTGATTTAAATCGTTAACTTTTCTTCATTTTATGTTCTTACATTTTGTTTAATTTTGAATTTAATTCATGTGTGCAGGCTTGACGTGCGCGTATTAGACGTATTAGAACTAAATGTTTTATTGCTTATCTCTACTGCTATTCTATATTCTATTATTCACAATGTAAATTCTTTATTATTTATCATCAAATATACTATACTAAATACGCCAGTCCGGGCAGGGATGCCAAATGTTCCTTATAAATGAAAGTCCCACTACGAACTTCCAAAAATGAATCATTGAAAGGTATCACTTACCTTGCAATGTTCTATATGTATAAGCAGTACGACCAACCTTTTATATATATATGGGTCCGGGGTTGGCTTCAATATACTTAATGATAAATATCTAATGACGACAGCCAATTTGAATAACAATAGAACATTTTATTGTTCTAAATAAAAAATCATGACGATGAAATGAAATATGATGTCTACAAGTTCAGTGACGATGAAAAAGTTCGACTTCCTCGCCTGAATACATACACATATCTGCCCTCAGCGTAAGGAGTTACGGTTGCAGTTCGACAGCATAAGGAGTTACGGTTGCAGTTCGTAACAGTATCTATTTTAAGAAAATGCATTTCCAATTTTTTTGAATTATGGATTTCTGCATATATTTTATCAGCTGTAACAGATTCCGGTTCTTCTTGTCCATTTAAGGGAGTACTTATGACTAAAAAATTAAATAAAAATCATAAAAACTACATATAAATAGAAACAAAAGTAATTAATTTATTTACCATTAATTTCACTATAAAATGAATCCTTAATCACATGAATCGTGTATAAAACTCTGAATACGAAGCGCATAGTATTTGAGATACGCGCAGACGAGAATTTACAAAATAAAAATAATGGTTTAATTTTAAAATACAAAGTATTTTAACACAGCAGACGATTTTTTACTGACTTACTTCAACTTGTTTAGCGTAGAATAAATTTTAAACAGAAGAGAAAATGGAGTTGATAATAAATGAACTAATAAAAATAAATAAACAGAGCATCGCGAAGTCCAGATACATCGTTGTCAAGGAGACCACGCAATTAGAGTTCGTCCACAACATGTATATGCACATTGATAGGAAACATTAAACTGGTGCTAACGCCGCTTTGGCTAAGATTCATATACCGCATAAAAAAAATCGCACAAAAATAAAATCGCACAAAACCAATCGCACAAAAACAAAATCGCATAAAAAAGGACAGCACAAAAACAGGTTTCACTGTATCTTGTGTTATCTTTTTCTTTTAAAAAAGGCATTTTATGTTCTGCTCAAAAATGATAAATTTCATTGCTTAGTTTAAGTGCGTAATGATTAATTTAATATTATACTTGATAAAACTACCATCTTTAGATAGAATACTCTTAATAATTTTTGAAAATAAGTTTTTCGGGGAAAAGCATAAGCCTAAGCTCTAGAAAGGAGAATCTTAATTACGTTAATATTAATTCTCACCGTTAACTTCAACTTATGTATGTATATTTTGGCACATCTCTAACACTACGTAAATAATCTAAATAAATTTCTGAAACTGTTAGGGATAAAACTCATTTTTATAAAAATGAATCAACATTAAAAAATACTTAATATTTAATTTTTAATTTCATCTTTATTAATTTTTTACTGTTTAATTCAGTAATAGTTTAAAAAAATTTTAATTTAATGCACAGCACTCCAAACAAATTGACCACAATGATTAACTTTTGACAAAATATAGGGGGTAGCCTTCATCTGGGAAATATGCACCTCATAGTTTGGTCAGGAGAGCGATCAAAAGTTTGGACAGCTTAATGTTAATTTGATTTTTTGCGCATATCCCCAGAAATTTTAAAGCCAATTAAAAAAAATTTGCACGCAATTATAAAATTTGTTTATCCAAAAGTTATTTTTTAGTAAATATTTATTATTTTTTATTATTTTATTAAATAATAGTCGGAAAATTCTGAATTGTAAGGTATACAATTTTCTTACATCAATCTAATGTATGTAATTTTATATGCTAAAATACAAAATTTAAGTGAAATTGGTAGAATAGTTCTTGAGAAATCGAATTTTAAATATATGACTTCTTTAAAATTTAATTTCAGAGGAACTATTTTATCTATTTCGCTCAAATTTTGCATTTCGCCACATAAAATTACATGCCGTCATGTGGGGCTACTTTGTGCAGGATTTCGCAGTTTTTGAACTTTGACATGTAAAAAAACTATGTTAATTCAAACTTTAGTAAAATTTATCGATATTATATTAATAACTGGACTCAGACGAGTGAATATGATCAATAATGGCATTATTTGTATGTAATATTTACAAATAATATGTCAAAACATA